TTTCTTTCTTTCTTTCTGTCTTTCTTTCTTTCTGTCTTTCTTTCTTTCTGTCTTTCTTTCACCAACTTAATTCAAATTTTTTCTTTTTTCTTCTCAGTCAAACGAAAAGCAAGTAATCGAGGCTGCAAGGTACCAAGGATCCAAATTTGTATTTTGCAGGCTCGTCTGAACGCTTTAAGTTTGACAATGGAACCGATGAATGAGAATTGTTATGTCTGAATCAAACACGGAGTCAACTGAGTATGCTTCTTAAACATTGCTGACCTTTGAAACGCCTTCGTCACCCGGAAAAAAAATTTTTTTTTGCTTTCTCTAATTTACAGCGCGCGCTTTTCAGCGTTTACATGCGCAGTTTGATTCCGTTGTCGTGTTTTGTCATGCGCAGTAGGGTGTCGTGTTTGGTCATGCGTAGTAAAGATTTGTCGACCATCCATCCCATCCATCAACTCATCCATCCATCTATCCATCCATCCATCCCATCCCATCCCATCCATCCATCCATCCATCCATCCATTTATCAACTTAATTCTTTTTTTCTTTTCTTCGAGTCTGTTTCTTTAATTGTTTCGGTAGAAAAGTTTAGTCAAATGATTACGATAAGTGTGACAGAAGAACGTGTGACAGAAGATTGTGTTACTTCTTCCCATACTTATTCGGGCGTAGTTTATTTTTCTCTTCATTATGATTACGACAATTTAACGTTTTTAAGACACTTAAACCTAACTAAGCTAAAAGCACCAGTCAACTTAAAGTAGACCAAAATCAAAATTTCAAAATCAATAAAATTTAAGTCTTATAATTAGCGGTTGCATAAATTCCTTGATATATGCAGATCAGCTCAATTAAAAACGTTATAACCGCAGTACAAATATATAGTCTATATATATTCTCATATACAATTGATAAAAAATTGGGGACCTTAAAACAAGCTATCGATAAAAACTAACTTTCCAAAGTCTCCTTCGCACGAGAGCCTCAAGAGAAAAGCAATAAGAGAACAACACGATATCCAACAGGGAAAAACTAATTTAAAAACGAAGAACACCCTCATTTTTTTCCCTGATCAATATGATAGAAGTAGATGATGATAGATGAACGTAAAACCAAGCTTGCTGACATTTTTTTTACACTTTTAGAGTTAATGTTATTGCGATAAAGCCGTGAATAAAAACCAGTTTAAAAAAATTGATAATCTCTATATACGTGTTTGAATTTTTTCTATGTTAAATTAACCTTCAGGCAAAGTTTGAAACTCAATTTTCTGTGTAATCATGTATGTAAGTTTTCAAATCTATTGCTGACGTTCAATTATCTTCAGTATCAAAGCAGTGTTATTTGAACTATGCACTAGATATTCCATTAACGAAGATGAATTATTAGGCAATAGAAACCTTTTTTTCTTTATATCGTTTATTCCATAAAGAATGCTGTTGCCAATGTTATAAAATCGTCGTAGTCTACTCTCACATCATAGGAAATTAGTTGAAAAGTTTGACAATACTATTATTTTATTTCCTGCAACAAAATTTAGGCCTACCTCCTAATTAAAAAAAACTTGATATATTGTTTTGTTATTGTGGACATATTTTTTATATCTATTATTATAATAGCCTTAACTTGAATAGAACAAAAGTACTGTGAAAGCTGTGACAATTAGTGAAAAAACGTTTCCCAGATTTTCTTTATTTTCTTCAAGTTTACTGCTCTATTTTTAAAGAAGTACTTTTATCCAGGTTATTTTAGTGTCTTTTTTGCTTGAGGCTCGAGAGCTCGTTGTGAGAAAACACAGTTAATTGCCCTTTTTCATAAAGACGTCACAGATTGTTTTCATCGGCTAAAATGATAGAAATTTAAGCCAAATTTAAGCTTAATTCTCTTCTTTCGAGAAATTTAGCGTAATATTTAGTTGTTCTTGCCTTCACCAGCTCATTAACCAAATTCCATTGTGATTTAAGATGTGTTGTTGTCATTCCACCCCCCTCCAGCGACCGTGATCCCTAGCATTAAAACAATAGTTTGTTTTGAAGGGATGTCATTATGAAATAGGGCAATCTTAGCACCAAAATCACGAAGGGAAATGAGGCGATTATCAGCCAATCAGAGCACAGCTCTTCAGAAAAGATGACGCGCGCGTGCAAGACTATAAAAAGGCGCGAAATTTCCTAGCTTGTCTTATTTGAGTTAAACGTTAAGATGGCATGGGGAACGGCTTGTCATTGCTCATTTAAGGTAAAGTATTTTTTATATTTATCAGTATTGTGAAAACCAATTTGGCAATAGATAAGAAATGATTTCTAAATTGCAATAATTATTAATAGATAACACAAAATAAAACCGTCTTTTTTTATAGCTTTTTTATTCTATTTAAACGAACGTGTAATTTTTTAAGCATTGTTTAGCAAGACTGACAATTCCCTCATAACGATCAACTTACTTTTTAAATGTTCTTACCATTTTTTTTTTTTTCGGAAGGCTGATTAGAATAACATTTACATTATGATATTTTTAAATTTTACGTAACTAGCTTAGGCCTAGGGCAAACGTCGAACTTTCTATGCACCGAACTCATTAAAAACAATGGATATCAGGTGATAATGAGGCGGCATTCCTTGATGTAATTAAGTTCGGTGCATGGAAAGTTCGACGTTTGCTCTAGGCCTTAGATTTTCTTGCTGTAATTTTTTAAAAATATATTATATACTTTCATATATTCTTTTTCTTTGCGAATTTCAATTGTGTTGGATGCTAACGGAAATTTTCTGTTTCTTCGTAAATACAAATAAGACAAAAGCGCTAGTTCTCGTCTTTCCCATTTATGTAATATATTTATTGATTTCCATCTTTAAGCTTACTTCTAAATGACCTTGGATACGTGGGTCCCAAGTTCGTTTCCAACAAACAAACCATCTCTTCGTATTAAAATAGTACAGATAAAACATAATCGCTAGTTCATCTTGTTTTTCTCATTAATAGTGTATTTTTCTTTATTTTAGACTTGAAATAACCTTGTTTTACGTGCATTCCAAGTCGCGTCCAACAAACAACCCCTCTCTTTTGCGTCATTTGTGAAGTGTTGATTGTAACACTCCCCCGCGAATACCCAATGTTCCCTCTGTTCTGCTTTCATCATTCATCATTCTATTTATAAATAAGCTCAGCTGGAGAACAATTCTCTTGGAAACGAGTGCTTCAAATAAAGAAATGTAGTTATGAACAGAAGAATTAGTTTGTAGTGTGTAACCTCAACTCCTAGTCCATCTCCACAGGAATCCCAAACATCTCTAAAACTTTTTTAAAAAGTTTCATTTGCTTAAGTTTCATTCAGATGATTTGAAATAGTGACGTAGAAATGACGTCACTGCAAAACTGAGGTATTGAAATTGATCAACGAAAAATAAAAACATGCCCGTCATAGCATTAACAATATAAAAGTAATTAATTATTGTGTCACTTTTATCAAGTACTTATTAGTAACGTTATTCTTTTCATTTGGTGGCCTGGAATCCGTGTTTTCAAGACGAAAAATGAAATCTCAGTTTTGAAAAAAAGTCGATTTTGATTGGCTTTTTTTTTTTTTTTCCCCTTCAGATAAGCTGGATTAGATTAGAGCTAACATCCAATATATAATTTAACATATGCTTCTTAGGACAAATATTATTTGATAAACTATAAGAAACCTCGAGAACTTGCTGTTGGCCACGCGCGCCCGCCATGAAACTCTGAAATTTTGGCGGGAAAATCTTAATGCCCATGATCCTTCACGATCATTACTACGCACAGGAAGCCCAAATACGTATTTTTGATAGACGCACTCGACGCTAGTTTTAAAAAACATATTCGATACGATCTTTCAAAAAAAAAGAAAGCTTCCGCACATTTTTAAGAAATCGCCATATTTGACAGGTAAATTACTCAATTACTCTAATCTAGCTCGGTATCAACTTGAACTTGAACCATAATTTGTTAATAAGGTGATGAGTCAAGTCAGCCTTGTCATGAAGAGGAGTTGTTGAAAGTCTTTGATTGACGGGAGTTTTGTCGATTTTAAGCGAAACTCTAATAACTGTTAAGGTCGACATCATTGCTGCATTGCTATCTCCCAAGTTAATAACTTCTTCAGCTACTACGCACTGCTTCACGAAAAACTCGCTATCTATACGTCTTGATCCTTGAAGCAACGCAAAAAATGGGATCAAACTGCTCAGTGAGTATAACATTTCGATCATTTCAGATCCTATTTTATTTTTATCTTCGTTGTTCTTCTAGGATTAGTCACTTATTCTTAGTGTTTTCCAAGTTTAATCCATATGTCGGTTATTCTAGTGAGAATATTATTGAATTTTGTTATTTTTGTTCTTGGTGAAGTTTCTTTATGTAGCAGGATGTATTGTTCTCTTGGTCTTGGTCAGGTTTCTTG